TTATTTACAAAAAATATTTGTGCATGCAAAAAAGTTAATTTTTGTTATAAATTTTTTTTCTTTTGCTCATATATTTTTTATTTGAAATAATACCTTTTGAACAGTTACTAATAAAATTCATCAATATAAAAATAAAATTTTCTATTATTTGAGGGGTAAAATGATTATCATAAGTCACTAGAGTTTTATTATTTTTTGTTTGTGTAAAATTTTTTTTTTTTTATTCTAAAATTATATCCCTAGCATAATAAATATAATTCATTTGTGAAAGTACACAATTATTTCTGTATTAAAGATATATAGCATTCAAGAAATACTAATATTGACCTCTTCATTAATTTGTTTTTTTTTTTCCCCCAGGTTTATCTGGGCCTATGGTAATTGTTTAAATCACAGTGCTGGCCAGAGAATTCTAAGAGTGTAACCAAAGCTCATGTTATATCTTTTCTCTGCCAGTCCACTGTACTTCTGTACACCAACATGTTAGAAATAGGACCCCAGTAGAGTTTGTAATGTTTGCAAGTCACGCTATGCAGGCCCCTGTATACTGTCAGATGGACGAAGATGCTACTTTCCAGTTCTTTGGGATAGTATAAATATTTTTTTGTACATTTTACAAAGCATAATGCTATTTCTGTCATCTATTTTACAAATTTTCAGTAAGCACAAAAACATTTGGTTTTGATATTTTTTTAAAAACAAATTTTAATGCAGTAATAAAATCATATTGACTATAACCATGTTATGGGGCATTGAATCAGACATCCTGAAAAATTACGAAAACATCTTGCATTTTAAAAATCAGCTCATGTTATGTCACTTATGGTTACACCTCTTTCCCCTGCTTTCTTTTTTTTTTTTTTTTTTTTTCTCTTTTTTAATGAATAGACAAATTTTTTTATAATATTTGATTTATATATAAATTGTAGGAAAAAATGTATTAAAAATAAATTTTAAATTAAATTGGACACCCTTAAGCTCTCTATAAAAAATTTTGAAATAATTATTTGAAGATTTTTAATACTCTCTTTTTATGTAAAATATATAGAAACATTAAAATTTTTAAATACATTTGTATTTTTAGTAAACTATAACATTAAATAAATTTGTAAACTTCGAAAAATTAGAAGAAAATATATTTTAAAAATAATACTTAATGGTTACATATTTTTATTAGACTTTAATATTTTTATTAATTTATATTTATATTGTTATTTCAATTAAAATTAATATTATCTTATTTCTCTATTTGAATACGGGTATAATAAGTTATATAAAATCCACTTTTTATAAAATTCTTGCAATAGATATCATAATTTAGTTACCATACTTATAAAGTGTATTATCAATTAATTGAATTTTTTCTTTTTCTGTTAATTTTTAAATTTCCAGTAATAATATTAAGAAAATTTTTTTATGAGATAAAAAAAAACTTATAATTTACCTAAAAAATGAAAATATATAAACCTTTTTATTAACCCATCATAATAATGCTTAAAAATGTAAAATTAGCATATGAGGACAATATTTTTCTATAATAAATACATTAATTTACAATGTAATTTTTTTTTCTTTTTAAAAAGGTTACATTTAAATGATAATATTGTTTTATTATATGTTATTCTCTGAACAGTGTTTTACTTGTATATAAGAAAACACATTTTTCCAAAATTTTACATCTAGTTTTGCTTTAATTTTATATACTTTTTTCTCTCAACGTAATTTGCAATCAAAAGTTGTTAAATCACATTTTATTCTAATTCATCTATTAGATAATTTTTTTTTTTTTTTTGTTATATTTGATTATCATACTTTTCTCCTTATTTTTTTTTTTTTTTTTCTTTATTATTAATTTTTAATTCATTTCTTTTTTTTTCATCTTTTTATAGGTTTTATTCTTATTCTTTTTAATTCATTTTTTTATTTCTCCTAACTTTATTTTTTTTTTTTTTTATATTTTTATCATTTTTCTTAATTTTATTTTCATTCTACTTTTAACATTTTATTTTTATTGGATTTCATATCTTACATAACTTTTTCTTTCTTTTTTATATTTTTTCTTATATTTTTTTTTTTTTTTTTTTTTTTTTTTTTTCTTATGAGATTAAAACGTTCAAGATACTGAGTGTAATTTTAAAGTAAATCAATAAAATGAGAGTATATATATGTGAGTTTATAAAAATATATAATATTCATTTTTTTTTTTTTCATAAAATTTGTATAGCTTTTTCATTTTGTAATAAATTTTTTTTTTTTTTTTAGCTTTTTTTTTTTTTTTATTCTTTATTTTATGTATATATATATATATATATATTATGTAATTAAATTTTTGTAAATATAAAGCTGGGATTATAAAAATTAATTAAAAAATTGTCTAATAAATTATTTAATACATATATATATATATATATATATATATTTATAACGTTCTTTATGAAACAAAATAAAATATAAATAAAAAAAAAAAAATACAAGGGAAAAAAAATTAAAGCGGATATAAAATGATTAGGAAGTTTGAGTACCATATAGTATCACATATTTTATTTGGTCTTCATGTGAAATTATTTATGAATAAAATATTTTCTAAAAAATGGATTTGGGATTTTTTTCATTTCTATTTTTGTATGGTTATAATTTATTTAACAATACTAATTATATATGCAACTAGAGTTCATTATAATTTAAAAAAATTGGATTTGAAATATTTCCCAGTAGAGAGTATTTCATCATGTAAAAATTATGTAAATAGAAAGAATATCCATCCATTTGCAGCTTTTGAACGTAATGACCTAATTCATATGAAATATATAAACCTACTTTATGGAGTTATTTTTGTGGTTATACAAAGATGGAAAAAAAAAAAAAATGAAAAACAAATATAGTTGTAATTTTTTTTATGTAACTCATTAGAAATAATTTATATTTTTTTTTTTTTTTGTAATCAGGCAACATGGAAACTATTAGCAGCATTCATTTTGTCTGTAACTAATTTATCCTTTTGTGGTACATAATAAAGAACATAAATTATATATATATATATTTATATATATATATATACATTTACTACTATTTATACATGTATACAATATTTTACCTTGTTTTTCATAATTAAATTATATAGAATAAGTATATATATAAATTTTTAATAAGTCTAAATATATATTTTTATAATTTCACAAATAATTTTAAAAATTTTAAATCCTTTTTTTTTTTTTTTTTTTTTTTTTTTTTTAAGCAGATGCACTCAAATTATCTTCATGATGAACAATCTGCTGCTTTATTGGCATAACTTCTGACCTCTTTGAATATGGCATTATATCTTTTATAGCACTAATTTCTTTATGTTCACACGGAAAAAATTTATCTTTAGCGTAGGTTTCGCAAAAATATGAAACACACTCCAAATTAGAATCTCTTGTTAAGCATCTTTCTGGAAGATATATAAATTTTTTATATATTCCATTATCAACACTATATAAAAATATTAATTTTCCACTATAATTCGCATCGGAACACAACACATAATCTTCATTTTCTTTTTCACATATCGCATACATGCAATTACGACCTGAAATGTATTTCGTTTTCATATGATGGCAGGAATGTTCTTTAATAAATAAATTTTTATAATTTGATTTAATAATTTTATGATTAGGGTTTTTTAAATGTTTCAAAGGTTGATCATTTTTTTCACTAATAACGTCATAAGAACTAAAAGAAAGTCTTTTATCTAAATAATACATATCAACAGATTCGCATATGGCTGCCTTTTGGTTTATATTCCTAAGACGGCATAAATATGTTTTAGTTGGATATGGATCATAATGTACATTATATTCATACAGAAACACAATACCATCTTGATTATTGTCTGAAAGAATAATTATCCGAGAAGATCTATATGGTACATAACGTTCATATTTAAATATATTTCTTGTAATATCATTTGAAGCGTTATTTAAAGGACGATATACCTTAACTAATCCCTTATCTAAATCACAAAATGATTTTTCAAATTTATTTTGTTTTATAGGACATATAACCATACGGCATTTGGCAGAGTCTTCTTCAAAATTTTCGCATCCTTCATTATATAAAAGTGCCATTTCTAAAATTAAAATAAGATATATATATTTTTCTTACTTTTTACTCTTTATGTCTTTGTAAATTTTACCTTAATATATTTTTGTAGAGCTATTTTTTTTTAATAATCCATTTTTTGTAAATTTTATTATATTTCTTATAAAAAATATAATTTCTATTGCAATAGATAATATTTATAAAAATTAAAAATTGGATTTAATTTATTATTTAAATATTTAAGTGAAATTATATATATTTTTTTTAAAAAATATATTTTTTTAAATTTAACAATAATAGGATATTCTTTAGTTATACTTATCATTCAAATTTTTTTTTTATAAAACATATAATAAACGAAAAATTTAAAAAAAAACTTGTCATGCTTTTAATATAAAATGATAATATCTATTCAAGAATTTTTCAAATAATAAATTCAAAATAATAATTAATAATTTATGTTAAGAAAAAAATACATATGAAAAACATCAACTATTTTTTATTTTTCATTTATTTTTTTTAATTAGCTTCTTCGTATGGATAATTGTATATTTTCCACATTGAAATTTTATCATCAAAAAAGTTAATAAGCCCTTTATTAGCCATATATATATTATCTATTGCCATTAATGTTATATTTACACTAGTATGATTATTTCATATACATTATTATAATAAAAATGAAATATGTATTTTTTATTTTTATAGAAATAACTATGATAATACGTACATATAAATGATTATTTATGTATTATTTAACCTTTGTGAATTGGTATATAATTGACTGCATTATCTATTAATTTATTAATATTACAATTACTGAACAATAGTTATAAATAATTTTTTTTACTTTATGAACATTACCTTGCTTTTAATAATTACAATAATTTCTACATTTAATGGACTATTATTTGGATAATTTAAATTTTTAAATATACAATACATATATTATTTAAAAGATTTTAATACAATGAAGCAATATGTATTAATGTAAGATAATATTATATTTCACATATTGTTAGTTGGAAAAACTGCTTTTATGTATTATATTAAAAAAATATAAATCATAAAAACTTACTTTTATTAAAAATACGACTATTTTTTAATGTAAAATGAGCGTTATTATATTAAGAAGGGAATATTTATTCATATACATTTTTATTTATGTTATATCAAATATTCTTACAAATTAAATTAAAAAGATAAAAGTTCTTAATAAAATTCTTTATTAATGCTTACAAAGATACCTTATAGCACTTAAATATTTTAGAAGAAAGTAAAATTTGTAAGGAACAATTGTTGAAATCTTTTCTATTATATAAATTATTTGTTAATTGCTCATTTAGTTATCTTGCTAGTATCGAAGAAAAAAATTAATAAAAAGCATGTAGAAAAAGCTCTATTCATTTTATCATTATCAGATTATTAACATTTATTAATTATATTAATTATTAAATGCATGAATTAATTACTATTGTTAGTTTACACTATATCTCATGTATGTCACATTTGATATTACATTCTTAATTTTTTATAAAAAAATAAAATAATAAAATATATAAATATTTTTTTCATATCTTGTTCCTTTTTAGAGCAAGTATTTTTTTTTTTAGAAGCACTTACTTTTGGAGCAATTGTTTTTATTAAACTTATTTACTTTTAGTGATAGTATTTTTTTTTTAAGATACATATTTTCTTTACGCTTTTATGTATGCCTATTTTCCTAGCAATATGACATATACAATTAAAAATGTTTTTTCTATATTTATCTAAATATTATTTAAAATAGGTCGATAATATTATTTATAATCCAATAATTGAGTTACATAGATTTCATGAGAAAGATAAGGAAAAATAAAAGAATAGCAATAAAAATATTTACATCTAAAATAAAACAAAATAAAAAATAAAATAAATACAATCTTATAATAATTATAAGTTACCCATTATGTATAAAAAGGCTAAAAAAAAAAGGCAAATAACATTCTTTTCACATTCAAATAGAAGGCAATGATAATGCACATGCAAAAGGATATGTTATAATTCTGTTTTATATTTATTTATTGATACATTCTGTATCATGATGAAAATATATACCCTTGTATTTTCTAGGAAAAAATTCATTATATTTAATTAAAGATACATCTTTTCAGTTAATATAATATATAATATTATTATTAAATTTAAAGTTTATACTTGTGATTATTAGTTACAAAAAAAGAAACTTTATAAATATATATTTTTACAGTATGTTTCATATAAAAAACAATTTTCTTCACAGTTATTAGAATAATTAAGAAAGTAAATTTTCCAAAAAATAAATAAACTTTTTTTTGAAACATGTTTTTTACTACATACATATGATTAAATAAATAGTTTTTTTTTTTTTTTTTAAATTGCAATTAATTTAGAGTGCTTATTTATATGATATATTATTATAATTTCTTCAAAATAGATACGTGTTCACTTTTTCTTTTGAATTTGTGCATTTCATAATATTTTTTTATTTTGTAAGAAGTAAATGAAAAAGGAAATTTTTTCAAAAAATAATTATCATGATAAAAAATAATTATGTATACATATATTATATAAAAATGTGTTTATAACAAAAATAAAAAGAAAACATAAAGATAAAAAAAATATTATAGAAAAATGAAAATAGTTACATTTAAAGCAAAAACGTGCACAATTAAAAATTAGTTTCATATATAATTAAAAATGATTACAAATATAGTATAATGTATGAAAAATACATGCATAGAAAAATTTTTAATTTATATTGTTTTTTTTTTTTCTTTTTTTTTAATGGAAATATAATATATCTAACATATCTAAAATTATTTCTATAAATAACAAATACCATATATAAAATAATTTAAAGTTTTACGTGATTCACAGAAAAAAAACTAATAGTTAAACGAAAAAAAAAA